AATAAACCCCTCATCTTAAATATCTCCTGGTCTATCAGCATATCCGCTAAACTCAGCTCTGATATAAAGCACCTTTTGTGAAGGTTTGTAAGGTGATGTGAGTTTGAGTTACACAGGTACTTACTCAGCTATTTCTAATGTTGTAATGCATTAATGATACTGACCAGGATTTCCTGTAACACCATTTACCCTGTATGCAAGTCCAATCCATGTTCCTGTCATGTACTTATTATTTAGTAAAGATTGTGTGTATTCCAAACTTTAAATAGAGGATAAAACCCTTGTGATGTCATTTTCAAGTTGGTCTTCAGGCACAAAGCAGGGATATGATGTATACACTTTTTAAGTACATAAATAATAGTAATGATAATTAAAAGCTACAGAAAAGATAATCAAGATAAGATTAACTTTAAAACAATCATATGATGCGCTTCTAAACCACTTACCCTGAACATAATTATTCAACATAATAATAAAATAACAACAAGTTGACATATGAATTTAATTTCATATTGTATTGATTGATGTATTCCCAGTCCCACCTCGATTTCAAGAGTGTGTTAAATGTTTTATTTTGTTGTTTTTGCAGACCACGCTGCAGACAGATGAGGTGAAGAATGTCCCATGCGGCACAGGGTAGGTCTGCAGTTGTTTAATTTATTAAGTAGTATCATGTGTGGTCCCGAGCATGAATTATGTACCCTTCACACACACACAATGAATTGGGGGGAGTATTACACCATGAAATACAAACGCTTTATCTTGTGTAGTTAATTAATGTTATGTATTTTCTTTCTTTCAGGGGAGGAGTGATGATTTACTTTGACCGTATAGAAGTGGTGAACTACCTTCATCAATCAGCAGGTAAACCCACCAGTGTACAACAGGACAGAAAGAAAGTTAACTGTAAATTGTCAATAGCAATGAGATAGAGTGTGTGCAAAGTNGATGATTTACTTTGACCGTATAGAAGTGGTGAACTACCTTCATCAATCAGCAGGTAAACCCACCAGTGTACAACAGGACAGAAAGAAAGTTAACTGTCAATAGCAATGAGATAGAGTGTGTGCAAAGTTTTAGAAGAGTAGAGTGGAGTTAGTTTAAAAACAAGTCTGGGAGTCTGGGAGGTTTCTACAGGCCAGAGGTCAGGTGTTGTACAGATTGATGGCTACTGTCAGGGAAGACTTCCTGTCTCGGTCATTGGTACAGAAAGAGCTCCGGTTACAGACACAGTATCTGCTGGAGAGGGTGGTCAGTATTGTTCGTATTGGACGATAGTGTACTCAGTGGCCTTACTCTCCTCCACAAATCTAATGGGGTCCGGTCTGCAGCCGATGATGGAGCCTGTGTTCTTTATGAGTTTATTAAGTCTGCTCCAATGCTGCTCCGCCAGCAGACCACACAACAGCATGTTGTTAAGATAAAGATAGGATTCACTTTATTGAGGGACAGTCTTCGGTCACAACAGCATGTAAACAAGGCGTCGCACATGATAACAAAACATAAGCAGGAAATATAAACGTGTAAAAATGAGAATAAAAACAAAAATAAGAGTAAAATATCTACATTGTGAGAGTGAAAGATATTTACTGTCGAGTATGCACCATGAAGGGCAATACACAAAGTGTGCAATAAATTGTATATATATATTTTTTTCAATGTTTTTTTGTTGAAGAAAAGGCTCAATCATACAGGGTCACAATTGAGACAATGGTCTTCATCCATTTTCAATTTTTTAGAACAAACCATCACCACCCCCAAAGGAAATTGTATTTTAAATATAAATGTACAAGGCACAGGGTGAAGACATTATATACAGATGAATTATGTTTGTTAAATGTGAAAGGTAACGGCGTTGGTCTTCCAGTTCAGTCCGTTGTCTAAGTGAATCTTTATTTAACCTCTTACTCTTTTATTTAGCTTTTAGTCTGCACAGTCCTCTTTGCTGTAGCGATGTCATTTTCCTCGCTGTGGGACGAAGTAAGGAGAATGTAAACAAGGAATTGGACAAGAAACTAACTAAGTAAGGAAGAAAGGAACTCCAGCGCTCTGTACTCAGAAATCGTTACAGAGCGTTGGCAATAAGATAAGATAGGACTTTATTCATCCCGAAGGAAATTTTTATGCCAGAGTTACAAAAATACAAACACAGCAGCATTATAATAATAAAACTGTACGCTAACAGTGCAGTTAAAAGAGCAATTAAATATCTACAGGAAACATAGACGGTCACATAATTAATGTAAATATTAACAGTATTTAGTAGTGCAAGAACACGTAGTGGCAGATACGTAATTGCACGTAGAACATTATTAATAATAATAATGTGAAGTCTAATTGTAGATTCCATAATGTAATCCTAAACTCCCTGTGGTTTCTTCTCACGCTGAACACCTTGGCACTGACTGACACATTAGACGTGCTTGGGTTGCAGCCGGCTCCAGCCCACCTGCAGACTGTGTGCGTGTTCTGTACTGTATTTCCTAAATTGAGCGAGCCCTCATTTTCTGTCTCTGCAGTTTTCGACATAGTGAAGAACTTCACGGCGGACTACGACAAAGCTTTGATATTCAACAAAGTTCACCACGAGCTCAACCAGTTCTGCAGTGTGCACTCGCTGCAGGAGGTTTACATCGGGCTGTTCGGTGAGTCCTGCACTCTGGATGTTAGCTAACTGCTCATTTAAGACACCTTCCCCTTCCTTTTTAATGTTCCATCTTCATAAACAGCATGTAATCAGCCTACTTGAAAGGGTTCGAAAGAGCCTACATCTCTATGTCTCGTCTAACTAGATTGCAAGTGCTACAGACAACACCTGCTCTATGTGCACTTCATTTAAGTAAACCCACACTGTTACAACTATCAATTTTACAAATGTCCAACGAGGGTAAACGCAGGGTGTGCAAGTGCAGTGTTTCCCACAATTAAATATCGTCCGCCACAAATGGATCTCATAAAAAAATTTTTTTTTATTATTATTCTTTTTTTCTTTTTTTTTATTCTTCTTTTTTTTTTGGTGGTCTAATGGATAGTGAGGTGGGCTGATGATCGGAAGGTTGCGAGTTCAAATCCTGCCTGGAACACCACTACTAGTGTGCCCTTGAGCAAGGCACTTAGCCCTCGGTTACTTCAGGGAGAATGTCCCTGTAATTGGTCAAAGTCGCTTTGAAATAAGGTGTCTGCTAAATGCCTAAATTGTAAATTATACTTTTGGGAGAATAAACCCCACAGATCCTCAACTCCGGTGTGTTTCACTCATTAACAACGAAACACAGAGCAACAAGAACGTTTGGGGGGGGGGGACCCCGGT